TGCGGGGGGGGGGGGGGGGGCCGACACCAAAATGACTGGTGTCACCCCTCCAATGGTGTCACCTGGGTGCGGGCCGCACCCCCACTGGTCCTACTGCAAGGGTAGTCATTCTTTAATAGCTTAAAAAGGTTTCTAAATCTTTGGACTTTAATACAAGTTTTTGCTTTTGAGATTTTTACAACCTTTATTATTAGGAGCAGACGATGTTTTTAGTTGCAACGACCTGGAACACAAACTGTTCTTTTTCTGTTCAATCTCAGCCTCACCCACTCACCAGCCAACGCCTCCGCCGTTATGCAGGGCTACCCACGTGGCTCCACGGAAGGAATCTCCCACAAAGTTCTGAACAGCCATATCTACAGGACAGGGATTGAAAAGGAATATTTGTCTTATTTTTTTTTCTTGAAAAAGGTGACAAAAAATACTTGACATTTATTTGTAACTTTTTTTTTTTAGGTGAAGATTAAATAAACTATTTTGTAATGGACATTACTATACTGTATTTTCAAGCCCTCATATGGAGACTCTACCCTTGCTCTTCTAATGTAAAAAAGAAACCCCCCCCCTCCCCCCACACGCCAATTTAAGAACTTCAATAGCTCAATGTTATAAATTTCAATACAAAAGTGAGTGAGTCGGGAGTGACTTGTGCTGTATCGTTGTGCTCTAACAAAGGATTCAGTCAGACAAAGACAGCAGGCCGCTTCTACTGCACAGAGTCTTTAATGTAAGGGTACACACACACACCTTACGATAATGGTGGGAAATCCCGCGATCGTACGATTATTGTAAGGTGTGTGGAAGCCGTGCGACCTCTACTACTGTAAGGTCGCACGACTTTAAACATGTTCGAAAACCCGCCGAGCATTGTTAGGCGAGTGTGTAGCATGTTCGTAAGATAAAAGCCGGACGGGCCGGTGTGCGCAAGCGTACACTGCCCGTTCTGCATTGCGGTCATCGGAAGCCCGCCCCTCAGGGGGCGTGGCTTGCGATCATTGCAAGTACGGTCTGTCCAAGATGGGCAGATTGTACGTGTTTTTTTTTTTAAGTACCTTACAACCATCGCAAGACAAAAGTCCTGCGATGGTTGTGAGGTGTGTGCCCAGCATTAGCCTTGCGTCACGGCACAGCCCTGGAAATGGACTTCATGCCTTGCAGTGGGACTTCTTTATTCGTTATAGCACTTCTGCATGAGCACTTTACCCCACAGAGTGTGCGATTGATCTGAGGTCTTCGGAGAGGTTCTGTGGCCTCCGGGTCTTTTGCTTTTCCCCACAGGAGGTATTTCTTTGAGAAAGCCCTCACCAAGGATCTGGGGTCTACCTGGTGTTGGTCTAGGAGGTGGACCAGGATACCTTGCCTCTGTCAAGGGTCTTGCATCCCCTGGGGTTCAGAAAAATCGAGCACCTTCCTCTTTGGAGCACAGCACCCTTGTGCACTTTGTGTGGTGTGATTTCACACTTCACTTTTTTTGGGGTACAGGGGAAAATCGCTTTTGATGCACACAAAAAAAGAAAAAAAAAAAAAACTCCACCCCGAGGGCATCCTGATGTCCAATCGAGCCCTGACCAGTCCCATCTCTACACGCGGTCAGGTCATAAATACCTGCGCAGAAGGCGGAGCCATCATAGATGTTGGAAGTTTCCCTGTATGGGCTATCCGTCCCACTCACATCATGGTGATCCCGACTGATAACCACGGGAGCCTAGAGAAGAAAGGATTTCAAGCGATGATCCAATCTAGTAAAACAGCACGA